GACATTGAAGATTAAAGGTAGCTTCTATGAAGTAGAAGATACATTGGAAAAGGGTTGTCCACAGGGCTCTGTCCTTGGCCCTGCCCTATGGAGACTGGTCTTTGACGAGTTGCTGGGAGTGCTAGAACAGGAGCGGTTCCCCGAAACAGCATATGTAGATGACCTGGCTGTAGTAGTGCCTCGAATAGCAGGGCCAGATTAAAATATGAAGCTGAACGTTGTGCCAACCTTGTAGAAGAATGGTACGAGAGAAAGAAGTTAAGGATGGCGGGTTCCAAGACACAGGCCATCCTCTTGAGAGGTACGACCGATAGGGCACACCCCATAACCTTGGTGATACAAGGTTCAAGAATACGTCCAAGAAGTGAGATAGCCACCTATCTTGGAATTAGGATTGGAAAAAAATTCAACGTGATGCCTCACTTGGGTTATTGAAGAAATAGGATAACCTAAGTCCTTAATGGTCTCAGTCGCATAGGGGGAGCCTTTTGGGGCCTTAGATATTCAGCAAATATGTCAATTTATAAAGGAGTATTTGTTGGTATCCTGAGATAGGCGTCCCACGCATGGAACCGAAATCTCTCGTACCGTCAGAGGCGCAGTTTGGCTAGCGGATGGCTCTGCTTAGAGTATCCAGGTCATACAGAACTGTGTCCCATAAGGTGGGCCCAAGGAGAAAGTATTCCTCTTTACCTCCTCCTGCGGGAAGACCTTTTCCGACACAACATTAAGAGGAATGGCTTGGCGGATTTACATGACCCCAGAAGATGGAAGATGATCCTCCGGGAGGATACATTGGAACAATGGAATCGGCGATGGGTGGCAATCCCAAACGGGTCCACACTAAGAAAATTCTTTCTCACCGTTGAATCGCGCTTAGAAAAGAAATCCTCCCTTACTATTGGGTGTCACAGATCGTCACGGGGCATGGGGGTTTCAGAGCGAAACTTTTTAAACATGATAAAAATATCGATCCCTTATGCCTCACCTGTGGAGTACCTGAAACCGCTGAGCATCCTTGTAGCCTGCACCAGTTATGTGGCATTGAGGGCCAAATTAATGAGGGATACAGGGCTTTACGTTCTAACAGAAAGACAATCACCCCAACTGATGTCTCAACAAAACTACTCGCACTTTAAAAGTTTTGTATGCGGGTGGAAAAAAACTGTTGGCCCAACCCACTTCTCCCTGGCGAGAAGAAGCAGTACCTGGAAGACCTCTGACTATGACAAGAGCAGAAGATAGCCCTGAAGCCAGGGCCCAAAAATCGACCTGATCGCAGGCGAAGGTTTGATTGTAAATTACAAAAGTGTATGTTATTCTGAGTAAAAAAAACCTTGTCTGCCGTTACTGAGCCGCTGCTTTCAAAAATGGCAACTGATTTAAAGAATATTAGGCCAATAATTTGAGGATCGAAACAGGAAATACATTGCGAAAAATGTGAGAAAAGTTTCTATTTTTTTAACTTGTATATATGGGTTTAGACATTTAAAAAACAATATTGCTAACGCAGGCCACTAAGATAAAATTTTTTAGAGCCAAAAAAAGTCAGATTTTTTCGATATTTTTTGGGTTTTTCATCAATAACTCTTAAACAATGCATCTAAGCGAAAAATGTGTTCTTTAATTTATTAAAGAACGTTAAATTTTGCGTCAAACGAGTCCATAAAGTTTAAAATTTGGTTTTGCGGTAAGGTATAAAACCACGGTTAACCAACGTTGAGTTTTACCAAATTTGTCAAAAACTGAGACAAATTACTATAAATGGCTCTGTAACATGGAAATGAGTTCCCTAAGAGGAAAAACCCATGGAATCAAAGTTGTAGAGCATCAAATTTCGCGTATATTCAGTTTCAACTAATTTAATGTAGGTCATTTGCTGCTAAAAAAATCGGTAATCTCCCGATGGCTAGAAATTGGTAATGAAGGTAAACGTTATTTTCAATATTACAACAGTAAGGGTGTCTATTCTACTGAGTTAGTTTTGTTTAAAGTCTGTTACATGCAGTATAAGCATCTTTTTCACCTCTCAACAGCAAAAGATTTTGGTAAACGGTGTGCCGAAAGATACCGAATTTTATAAAGCAATAACGAATCCCGATTCGAGATATATAATTGGTCAACAATAAAAATGTCAGTATCCAGTATACGCAAAATTTGATGCTCTACAACTTTGATTCTAAGGGTTTTTCCTCTTAGGGAACTCATTTCCATGTTACAGAGCCATTTATAGTAATTTGTCTCAGTTTTTGTAAAATTTGGTAAAACTCAACGTTGGTTAACCGTGGTTTTATACCTTACCGCAAAACCAAATTTTAAACTTTATGAACTCGTTTGACGCAAAATTTAACGTTCTTTAATAAATAAAAGAACACATTTTTCGCTTAGATGCATTGTTTAAGAGTTATTGATGAAAAACCAAAAAAAATATCGAAAAAATCTGACTTTTTTTGGCTCTAAAAAGTTTTATCTTAGTGGCCTGCGTTGTTTTTTTTTTTTTTTTTTTTTTTTTTTTTTTTTAGATGTCTAAACCCATATATACAAGTTAAAAAAATAGAAAATTTTCTCACACTTCTCGCAATGGTGAAGAATGGAAAGAATCTATTCTTATTCCGATTCACAAAAAGGGTCCGAGGACGGATTGTAATAACTATCGAGGAATTTCACTCCTGCCGGTATGTTATAAAATATTCACTTTAATCTTAACCAGTCGAATCACGGAATACGCCGAGGAAATTATCGGAGACTACCAATGCGGATTTAGACGGAATCGTTCGACTATTGATCAAATATTTTCTTTACGGCAAATATTAGAGAAAAAATTGGAGTATAACGGTATTGTTCACCAGCTGTATATAGATTTTAAAAAGGCTTACGATTCTATTGACCGCCAGAAACTGTATAATATTCTAACCGAGCAGGGGATTCCAAAAAAAATAGTAAATCTAGTCAGGATGTGCTTGACGGAGACACTAAATAAAGTTAGAATCTCTTTCGCCTGTCCTGTTCAATTTGGCATTAGAACATGCTATTAGGGAGGTAATGCGAACCAAGAAAGGGTTGGATCTGGGCGGGACAACATCCGTGCTGGGCTATGCGGATGATCTGGTACTGTTAAGCGAAGACGTTGAAACTATAAAACTAAATACGACAACGTTAATGAAAGCCGGTAAACAACTAGGACTCGAAATAAACGTGGATAAAACAAAATATATGGTTAGCTGCAAAAATGGCGATACTACTGGTGATATCGATATAGATGGTAATATGTTTGAACAGGTAGATAAATTTAGGTATCTAGGTGCTACGATAACTAGAAAAAACGAAATTGAAGAAGAGATTAAGGTTAGACTGAAGACGGGAAATGCTTGTTATTTTTCTGTGACAAAACTACTTAGCTCGCGCCTCTTGTCCCGAAACTTAAAAATTAGAATCTATAAAACAATTATCTTGCCTACAGTTCTTTATGGATGCGAAACTTGGCCGCTTACATTAAGGGATGAGCAGCGTCTTAAGGTTTTTGAAAATAAAGTATTGCGTAGAATATTCAGACCATAGAAGGATGAGTTAACCGGAGAGTTCAGACGGTTACACAACGCCGAATTGCGTGAGCTGTATCCGGGTAATATAATTGAGGTAATTTCATCGCGGCGAATGAAATGGGCTTGTAAAGTAGTTGGGCTTAGTAACGAGAGAATTCCTAAAAGATTAATATTTGCTGTGCCGAATGGTAAGCGTCCGAGGGGTAGACCGAAGCGAAGGTGGGAAGATTCCATTAAAGCCGATCTGAAGGGACTGGGTTTGGACGGCAAACGGTGGAGGGAGGTGTGTAACAATCGATTGGTGGTGTCGGCATCGAACCTTCGGGTTCGCTAAGGCTTATTATTATTATTATTATTATTTTCGCAATGGATTTCCCGTTTCGATCCTCAAATTATTGGCCTAATATTCTTTAAATCAGTAGCCATTTTTTAAAGCAACGGCTCCGGAACGGCAGACAAGGTTTTTTTTACTCAGAATAACATACAATTTCGTAATTTACAATCAAACTTTCGCCGGCGATCAGGTCGATTTTTGGGCCCTGGCTCCAGGGCTAAGAGGGAGGACGATAAAATAAGAGACAAAATTATTAAGCAGGCTGTGTGCACAGCAATGTAAAAATGTAAAAAGATAAACTTGCAACAGTGATTTGTTATACAATGTGTATCAAGTCACTGCTGCAAACTCCCGTATTGTTTAAAAGGCAGGGTAGGGAGGAAAAAAATAATAACAATGTTATCATAATAATAACTAGTGAAAGTTATTTAGTCGGTTAGTGTTACTTCTTGGATGCAAATTTGTAACGGAAGTTAAATACAAGCTGTTCAATGCTGAAGCATGAGACCAGTTCCAAATAACTAAGAAAGTAAGAAACGTGGATTGAATCTTGATAGAGTAGTTAAAGCTATTCTCCGAACTCCTTAAATCAATAAGGAAGATACAGCCTTGAAGCGTCATTATATTTGTTGATTTGAAAGCAGAAATGCTTTTTTTCAGGGCATAACTATGAAAAATATTGCACATCTTTAGCTATATTTGCTTGCAGCCGACTTCGCCAAGAGCTTGATTTAAAGGACGTTAATATAATTATACAATGTATACCCAAATCATTGTGGTTTAATACGATAAGATGCAGCTGATATTATAGCAAAGGAAGGAAATTTATTACAAGTTGATCTATCTGTACCTACAATAACTAAAAGCTAAGGTTGCGGGAGTAAGATATGAATCTCTCATACAAGATCAACTCCCAACCTATCGAGAAAAGAGGCGGTGGCCTGTTTCAGAACACTCCCAGGACGATTGATAACCTGAAGATTACGGGTTTCAATACTGATGACTAGGTTATTCAACTATGGCATTAATCTCCTGCTAACCGAGAAAAAAACTGTATTGACGATAAAGCGAGGTAGAGGAAAGAAATAAAAACAAGATTATTTGCAGATCCATTTAAAAAAATGGGAATAAAGAGTAATTACACCTATAGACTCTCACTATAAGGAAAACCTCATTGAAGAACTAATATTAATTCATGCTTTGGCATGCAAAAAACAAACTAAATAAATAAAATATTGGTTGAGGTTACACATTATGTTTATTCAGAATTTCTCCAAAATTAAACTATCCTATTTTAAGCTGGTTAAATACTTTTTAGTCATCGAATAGATTGCCTTCATTTTTCATATAGATGACTTGGACCAGGAGCCTCCGTCACTACTTCAATATCGGCTTCTTTCATTCGACCTGTGCCTCCAACGCCCCCCACGGTTACGACTTCTTCTGTACTTACGTCTCCGAAATTCTGACAAGTCCCTGTCCGCCTCGGAGGAACCATCTTTAGCTTTGCCTTTATTATCTTCTCGAGATTTTGACTCCTTGTCGTTGTAGCGAATATTAATTGAGGACTTTTCACGTTTAGCTCGTTTCAAGGTACCTGCAACAGGTTGGCTTCCAGTCTGATCGATTACTTTTCCAGGATATTCTGTACGTTCTGCTGAGTGGTTTCTATGGTAAAGTACTCCAGTAAGTTTTCCTGAATTTATTTTGATATTCTCGAGATTACCTGAATGGTTGAAAACTTCGACAGATTCCGGTTGATTCCTTTTAACCTCGATTTGACCTTCGAGCGAACCTGCTTCCGCTTTAGATCCTTCATGGCTTCCTTTGCTTTCTTCGGAGTTATTGGTAGTTTGGCGATTCTCATTTAACGTCGACCACGATCTATGGCGACGTTCATTTTCAGGATTGAGGCTTCGCAATCTTCCTTTGTCCGATCCTTTATAAGCAGCTACGGCACCGATTGATATTGCTGGGTTGATGGAAGGTGTTTGTAAATTGATAGGTTTCATTTCTTGATTAATGGATGTATTGATAGATGTTATTTCTGGATTAGTGAATGGATTGATATGTGTTATTTCTGGAATGGTGGACGGATTGATATGTATTATTTCTGGACTGGTGGATTGATTGATAGGAGTTATTTCTGGATTGATAGATGATGTTTGTAGATTGATAGATGTTATTTTTGGATCGTTGGACGGTGGTTGTAGAATAATAGGTTTCATTTTTGGATTGATTGATGTCTGTGGATCGATAGGTGTTATTTTTGTGTCGACGGATGGTGTTTCTTGATCGTTAGGTTTTATTTTTGGATTGATGGGTAGTGGTTGTAGATTGATAGGTGTCATTTTTGGAATAATAGATGGTGCCTGTGGATCGATAGATGTTAGTTTTGAGTCGATCGATGGTGTTTCTAGATCGATAGGTGTTATTGGATTGGTGGATGGAGTTTGTAGATTGGTAGATGTGGTTTTTGGAATGATGGATGGTGTATGTGGGTGGATATGAGTTTTCTTTGGTTTGATGGGTCCTCTAGTGCTCAGCGTTGGCAAACTTATCGTTAGAGGAAGCGGTAACTTTGCCTCCGACAGGATTACTATGGATGACCTGACAGCCTGGCTGTTGGTATTTGGTCCTTCCTTCGCCAAGGTCCCTCCTAAAAAAATAATTGTATCAAATTCTTTTAGTTTTTTAAATTTTATTTTATCTTGCAGTCATAGAATTCATAAATAGAATTTTAATTTAAATCATTTATTTTTCTATGTATTACTTATTATAATTATAGAATGGCGTAAGACAAAAATTTCCAAGTAAATTATAAATGGTAATTCAAAAATTTTATTTTATCTATAATGATCTATGTATTTGGAAAGCAATGATAGACTTCATTGAGTAAAATAGATATTTTAGAATTTCTTAAAAAAAGGAATATCGACAGCTCGTTGTAACAGTCTGTAAGTGCTAAAATGAAAAAAAAAACAAAAAAAAAACGGTAAATTATTTCACAATGGTTTATTATTTTCAAACAGTTATACATCCAAAGTAACATCACCTTCCTAATGACTAAGAAAAAATAATAAAGATTGATTCCAATCATTGAACCTATCTTTGGATATTTTCATGTTCATGATCATCCTCTATCATCTAGACGTCAGAGTAGAGAGATTGGTGTCAAATTGTTTGCAACATCAGTAAACTGAGATATAATAGTCAATTGTATTTGTTTCTGGACTGGACTTAGGTCAAATTTATTCTTTTTAATTATTTTGCTTTTTTACATCTTCTTGTTTGTTATATTTTTTTTTTTTTTTTTTTTTTTTTTGGTCCTTCCCTTCCTCGACTTTAAGGCAATACGGGGGTTTCCCCGGGCCAGGGAGTATGGGCGGGGATTTAAAAACTCCTCCGGGCACCGGGACGCGAACTCGTGACTATTTTTTTTTTTTATCAAAGTGTTATGTATCAGGTTGCCGGACAACGGCGGTGCACTGCACACGCGTTAGCCCATTCGGCCACCCCACCCACCAAATTTTTCTACCATGAGCCGGGATTCGAACCTGGGACCTTTAGCATTGGAAGCTCAGTATCACACCACTGAGCTACACCACTCCCTTTGTTTGTTATACTGATATATTTTTTGTTTTTGGCGCAAGTGTCTTATATTATATTATTTTTTTCTTATTGTGTCTTATATGTATTATAATAATTCCCCCTCTATATCTAACTTATGATTTAGAAATATAGTAACTTATATTGTTAATCTGATCATAATGTAACGAAATCCACTTACCAGGAGTCATAAAGTACAGTGAAATATATTCGACTACAAACCAAGTTTAAATATTCGTGGCAGTTTATAGCTCTAAAAATCAACTTAGGTGTTAAAGTCGATATATAATAATATATAATAAAAGGCTTAGCGAACCCGAAGGTTCGATGCCGACACCACCAATCGCTTATTACACACCTCCCTCCACCGTTCGCCGTTCAAACCCAGTCCCTTCAGATCGGCTTTAATGAAATCTTTCCACCTTCGCTTCGGTCTATACCTCGGACGCTTGCAATTCGGCACAGCAAATATTAACCTTTTAGGAATTCTCTCGTTACTAAGCCCAACAAACCCAACTTTACAAGCCCATTTGATTCGCCGCGATGAAATTACCTCAATTTTATTACCCGGATACAGTTCACGTAATTCAGCGTTGTGTAATCGTCTGAACTCTCCGGTTAACTCATCCTTCTTCGGTCCGAATATTCTACGCAATACTTTATTTTCAAAAACCCTAAGACGCTGCTCATCCCTTAATGTAAGCGGCCAAGTTTCGCATCCATAAAGAACTGTAGGCAAGGCAATTGTTTTATAGATTCTAATTTTTAAGTTCCGGGACAAAAGGCGCGAACTAAGTAGTTTTGTCACAGAAAAATAACAAGCATTTCCCGCCTTCAGTCTAACCTTAATCTCTTCCTCAATTTCGTTTTTTCTAGTTATCGTAGAACCTAGATACCTAACTTTATCTATCTGTTCAAACATATTACCATCTATATCGATATCACCAGAAGTATCGACATTTTTGCAGCTAACCATGTATTTTGTTTTATCCACATTTATTTGGAGTCCTATTTCATTACCGGCTTTCATTAACGTTGTCGTATTTAGTTTTATAGTTTCAACGTCTTCGCTTAACAGTACCAGATCATCAGCACGGATGTTGTCCCACCCAGATCCAACCCTTTCTCGGCACGCATTACCTCCCTAATGGCGTCTTCTAATGCCAAATTGAACAGGACAGGCAAAAGGGAATCCCCCTGTTTCAAACCCGAACGAACCTCAACTTTGTCGGACAGATTATTACCGATTCTAACTTTATTGAGTGTCTCCGTCAAGCACATCCTGACTAGATTTACTAGTTTTTTTTTTTTTTTGGAATTCCCTGCTCGATTAGAATATTATACAGTTTCTGGCGGTCAATAGAATCGTAAGTCTTTTTAAAATCTATATACAGCTGGTGAACAATAACGTTCTACTCCCACTTTTTCTCTAATATTTGCCGTAAAGAAAATATTTGATCAATAGTCGAACGATTCCATCTAAATCCGCATTGGTAGTCTCCAATAATTTCCTCGGCGTATTCCGTTATTCGACTGGTTAAGATTAAAATAAATATTTTATAACATACCGGAAGGAGTGAAATTCCTCGATAGTTATTACAATCCGTCCTCGGACCCTTTTTGTGAATCGGAATAAGAATAGATTCTTTCCATTCTTAAGGTAATTTCTCATTCACCCAGATCTTTTTAACCAACCGATGTATTTTAGAAACTCCAGCTTCCTCGCATGCCTTAATTAATTCAATAGGAATATTATCGGTTCCCGGTGCTTTATAAGATTTTAATTTTCCGATAGCTACTTCAACTTCCTCTTTATTCAGCACTCTGGTACACAGAAGGAGATCATAATTTCCCGTATTTAAGATATTGTCAAAGTGGTCCTTAAACTTATTCAATATGTCAACCGGATCGGTCAAAATATTGTTATTATCATCCCTAATTCCAGACGTTACGGGCCCTACACATTTACGTGATCTGTTTATACCTTTGTACATGTCTCTTACGTTATTTTCGAAAAAAAAATAAACATTAATATTTTATATCTTAAAATCTAATTAAATAGTGATGCAAATCATCTATTTCATTTTGTAATAATTAATCAATATTCCAAGTGGGAAAAATAGTCTCGAAAGACTATTTAAATTGATGTATTCTGGATGAATATACTTTAACTAGCTAGAAAACTATGATCAAACCTAATATTTGTATCTGATTTTAATACAATAAGGGCTCAGCACAAATTCCATTTAATAATGTTTGATACACAAAGATTTAATACATATACTGGGTGGATCCATAAGTTCGTTCCGTTTTTGTTTGTAATCCGAATTGTTTTTAAGTATCTCCAGTTCTGTTTACCTTATCTGACAATAATGATGCTTATCGGAAAGGTAAAGTCCACTCTTTGAAATCGTTGTGTTTGGTTTCATTGGCATTTATTTTACTACAGCTAACTAAATTGGAGCAAGCATTGCGACATAAACTCCCAGAACTAGTCAATTACTAAGGTATTGTATTCTACCATGACAACGCCAGTCCACACTCCACAATAATCACACTGTAAACGTTTGTGCAACTTGGCTGGAATGTTTTATTACACCCACCGTATTCACCAGACCTTGCGCCACCCGACTATTACATATTCCAGTATCTCCAAAAATCCCTCAAAGGGAAATCGTTCGACGTGATATGAAAACGTACTTCAATAATTTTTTCGCTCCTAAGCCACAGATGTTTAATGAGAGCGAAATAATGAGATTGTTAGAATGATGTGGGTGGGGTGGCCAAGGGGCTAACGCGTTGTGCACAGCACCACCGTTGCCCGGCAACCTGATATATGACGAATTTGTTATAAAAATAATCAAAAGTTCCCATCCCGGTGCCAATGCGTCTTTTATATCCCCGCCCACACCCCCTGGTCGGGAAAACCGCGTATAGCCTTAACGGCGAGGAAGGAGAGAACCCCCCAAAAAATTGTTAGAATGATGGCAAGACCTAATTAATAATAATAAATAGTAGTTAGTAGTTAGTTGAATAAAATTTATTCTTTGTATGAAAAAAACATATTTTATTTCATCCTTAGAAAACCGAACGAGTTTAGGATCCACCCAATATCTAGTAAGCCATCAGTTATAAATATGGTTTACAATGTGCCATGTTTATCCATTGCGTTTCCATAAACTTATAATTTAAATGCTTTCTTCCTTCATTAGATTATCATAAATAAATAAAATCTTCTAAACATTGCTTTAAATATCAGATATCGGCAAAAGATAAAAGTCTCAAATTCTTAGGGAGAAATAGTTAGTGCAATCAGGATGTATGTTACTTTATAATAAAAAAAAATCGAAAGTGTATTTTCAATATGATAAACTTCAATAATACAGATCTAAAAGGAAAAGCTAAAGTAATTGATGCACATTGACACACATTCCAAGAAGTGTTTTAAGGAAGACACATTTATATAAATGAAGATAAAATTAATAATTTAATTAATTAGATGTCATGAAGATGTCATAAAGGCAAAAATGTTGCTATGATAAGTAAAATTGTGGAATGAATAAATAACGGTGAAAGAAATAACTGCCCAAACATATCTAGACAGTCTACTTCAAAAACGAAAAGTTGTACGAAACTGATATTACGTATTTATCTGGGATGTGACAGCAACTTTTACGTTAAAATCGACTCACCGTAAGTGGCACTTTATATCAACGGCCATACACGTTCTACAGTTTTCTCAAAAATGGCTTTAACGATTTGGGTTAAACTCGGTGTATAATTGAGTAATTAAGTGGTCTTTAATATCATTGAGGTCCTATCCCCAATGATGTCACTTTACAGGGTTTAAATGCTTAAATGTTCAACACGTCTTTCTCTAAAGTACTTTCAATTTAGTTTATTTTAAATAATTAACTATCTCAAATTATGAAGAGTTACGAAAAACTGCTAAATATAAATTTTGAAAGAATTTGATATTTAAAAAATGGAGAAAAAACTGAAACTGTTTATCTAGATCGAAAATGAATTTCTGGAAGTATTAGTCAGAAC